GGGGGGGAGGGAGGGGAAGGGAGGTGGGATTAATTGTAGTCAATATCTGTCTGGGTACAGGAAGACACCCCTTATCAACAAGGATGCCTGAACGAAACATATTTGGATACCTAACCCTTAATTGTACCCCACAATACCAAAATAAAAAATATTGATTAATTTAAAAAATAAAATTAAATTAAAATAAATTCTCCTTTGAGAATTTTAATTTCTGATTTGTATCTGTTTTGCTATACCTGTGGCAATGCGTTCTTTCACTTTTAAACTATCGTATAGTTTCCCTATACGATAACTATCCTAGAAGCCTACCCAGAATCCATTTCCCTTCTGCCCTTCTCACAGAGCTCTTGTACTTCTTGGGTATAATTCCCATTCCTCATGCCAGTGACTGGTTCAGGAACCCAGGCTGAAGCCAGCCCACAGAAGGCACACCCTTGGCCATGGGGATTGATTCAGTGTGACTCAGAGAAGGCTGCTGAGCCAGGGGGAAACTTGATAGGGCCTTCTGGGAAAGAAGCATCCCTGCTCTTAGGAGCAAGTTATCAGAAATTGCGTTCTTTTTCCCTCTGGACATAGTTGATTGTCAAAGGTAAAGCCTAGAACTACCATAGCCACTTTGCCACAGCAAAGGAAGCCAGTCTGGTGATGAAGCTGACCCAAAGGGGAGGGCACAGCTGATGAAGACATGGAGAAATTGAGGCAGAGCCACCATATTAAACCACCACTGAACCCTTCTTTATATCTGGGTGTTCAACTGCAGAAGTCAATACATTCTCTCATTACATATGGTGACTGAATTGGATTTGTCATTATTTATAGCCTAAATCACTATAACTGTTATACACTGTGACACACCTCATTAGTAGGCAAACACAGGAAGATTTTTGACATCTGTACTTTCTGATCCTTGGCTTGTAATTATCACTGGGTTTGAGGCACGTCTTTAAAAATATTACCTCTCGTTTTTCTTATAGGAATTAATTTTCCCCTAAAATCTTTGTTATTAAACATTTCAAGCATTTAGAAAAATTGAATACTTGAAACCTACCACCTAGTTTCAACTATTATTAACATTTTACCATATATTTGCATTATCTATCTTTATTTCTATATTCACCTACTTTTATTTTGCTGAATCGTTTGAAAGTGTCAGTCTTTTGGCACTATATCCTTAACTACTTAAGCTTTAGCATAAGTCTCTTAAGAACTATTAGCACACTATGAAAACTTATAATTCCTTAATATCATCTAATATCCAATGTATATCCACATTTTTCCTATTTGTCTCCCAAATTGTCTATTGTAGCTCTTTTTTTTTTTTAAACCAGGATTCAGTCAAGGTCTGCTCATGGCATTTTTACATTTATCTTTTACAACTTGGTTTCATAACTATAGATCCCATTTTAATCACACTTTCAATTTGTAATACTAAAGATCAACTTGGTAAATTTCCTTGGTCTTCTCTTCCTCAACATAATATTCAACTAGATTGGTCATAGTCCCTGCTATACAGAAGCACCCTCAACTCCTTCCTGTGTCAATTTCTATTCACTGCTCAGAAATAAGTCCCATGGAGGCACATCCCTCTCTAAAAATCATGACCCAGGCCAGGACCAGTGACTCACGTCTATAATCCCAGCACTTTGGGAGGCCAAGGTGAGAGGACTACCTGAGCCCAGGGATTCGAGACCAGCCTGGGCAACTTGGTGAGATCTCATCTCTACAATAAATCACGAAAAAAATTAGCTGGGTATGGTGGCACACACCTGTAGTTCCAGCTAGTTGGAAGGCTGAAACGGAAGGATCACCTCAGCCCAGCAGGTGGAGGCTGCGGTGGCTGTGAGCATTCCGCTGCACTCCAGCCTGAATGACAAAGTGAGACCAACACAAAAAAAAAAACCAAAAAACAATTGAGTATCACATGTTCTCACTCGTAAGCAGACCTTGAAAAACTATCATAATATTATAAGAAAAAGATTGGCAGTAGTGGGAAACTGCTGGGGGAGAAGGGGCACATTTCATCAGCAAGGGTACCTGCATAATGAACATTTGTATACCTAACCCTGAATTGTACCCCACATCTTTAAAATAAAAAAATCATGACCCTGGGCAGGGCATAGTGGCTCAAGTCTGTAATCCCAGCACTTTGGAAGGTCAAGGTGAGAGGACTGCCTAAACCCGTGGGTTCAAGACCAGCATGGGAAATATGGTGAGACCTCATCTCTACAATAAATCAAAAAATTAGCAGGGCTTGATAATACGTGCCTGTAGTTCTGACTACTTGGAAGGCTGAGGCCAAAGGAGCCCAGCAGGTCGACGCTGGGGGTGGCCATGAGTGTGCCACTGCACTCCAGCCTGGGCAACGGAGTGAAACTCCACAACTCAAAGTAAAAAATAAAAATCATGACCCTGGGGGAGAAGGGACAGATCTTCATCACAGTAGAATTCCAATTATTAATTTCATTTGGTAAACACCCATAGGAATAACTGTTGAAGGCAAGAACCATAGATAGATTCCAAATTTTTCCTTCCTTCCTTCCTTCCTTTCATTTTTTTGTTTGTTTGTTTGTTTTTTTGAGTCATAGTCTCACTCTGTTATCCAGGCTGGAGTGCAGTGGTACACTCATGGGCACTGCAGCCTCAACTTGCTGAGCTCAGAAGATCCTTCTGTCTCAGCCTCCCAAGTAGCTGGAACTACAGGTGGCCCAGATCCTAAGTTTCATGACAGACAACTCTTTGACTAAGTGATCGCTGTTTTCTTCACAGGCAATAAGATACGTCATGTACCACCTGATATGACACAGATACAGATCACAGCATCACTTCTGCAGGATTTCCGTAAAAATTTGTAACTTCTATCTAACCATAAGAAAACACCAGACAAACCCACACTGGGATATAGTCTACAAAATAAATGGCCAATACTCTTCCAAAGTGTCAAGGTCAGAAAGACTTAAGGAATTGTCCTGGATTGGAGAAGATTAAGGAGACATGACAACCAAAAGCTATGTGGGTTCTTGAACTAGATCCTAAGCCAATAAAAGAACATTAGTGTGACAATTGTTCAAATATGAATAAGATCTGTAAACCAGTAGTATTGAATCAACATTAATTTCTTGCCTTTGATAACTGTGTTATTGTTATGTAAGGTATTACATTAGGGGAAGCCATGGGAAGGGTATACAGGTTCTTTGTGTGCTGTTCTTGCAATTTTTTTGGTAAGTCAAATTTTTTTCAAAGACCTCCAGTTATCTATAAGGTACTCTTTTAGGGATAGTGAATTTGACATGATCAAACCAGACTTAAGAAGCAGAGCTAGGAAACTAATATATGTATCATAAAACATAATTGCTGTTGATTCTTACCTGAGAGCCTCTGTCCTCTCACAAATACACTCCCATTTCTACTAAGCTTTGATTTGGAGTCTGATCCAGAACGTCCCAGGTTAAATATTGATTTCCATTTCTTTGATTTACTGGAAAGCTTTCTCCTGAAAGATTCAGCCAAGACATAAGGGGCTAATTTGTTAACTAGTTATTTCAGGGGGGAATTTTAAGTTGAGACCAAATATTCCAATCACATTCTTAGTAACGAATGGCTCTGAAACTTCAGGAAATTATTCTCTAAAATCCAAGTTGAGCCTGACCATCACCTTGTTTGGGGATGCCCTAGATGATCAAGATAGGCTTTCACGAGTCAGAGCAAATTGTATTCCTCAGGACAAGCAGAAAGGTGTGCTATTAAAGGCCGGAGTAGGGACACACAAAAGCAGGGATCAGTGGAAGTCTCAGAGGTCACAAGCAGTCACACAGTTCTGGGAATTCTGCTAGGAATTCTTGTAAGCACTTTAATTCTGGATTTTTCAAAGATAGCCATTTTTTATAGAAGTAAACACTAAAGACCATAGATCTGTTAGGCTCCCTGCACTGTAGCCACGCCGCTGAGACCTTCACAGAGGAGGAAAGGACCGGGAAGACTGTCATGGATCAAAAGGACTGGATAAGAAAGACAGTCTGGAAAAGGGTCTGGCCTGGTGTGGCTGAGAGGTACAGCAGCCTGCTGGGTGTGTTCAATGATCACTACTAATTTCTTTCTTTCTCTCTTTTTTTAGTTGGAGTCTCACTTTGTCGCCCAGGCTGGAGTGCAGTGGCAAGCTCACGGCCACCGCAGCCTTGACCTGCTGGGCTCAGGCAATCCTTCTGCCTCAGCCTTCCAAGTAGCTGGAATTACAGGCATGTGCCACCACACCCAGCTAATTTTTTTATTTATTGTAGAGATGAGGTCTCACCAAGTTGCCCAGTCTAGTCTCGAACCTGTGGACTCAGGCAATCCTCTCACCTCGGCCTCCCAAAGTGCTGGGATTACAGGCATGAGTCACCGTGCCCAGCTGGTCACTGCTAATTCTAATGGTAGCATGTCTCTGGCTTTGCCTCACACTAGGCTGCCTTGGTGAGCAGGGAAAAAGGAGAGCACTAGGCTACTAGGAGAACCTGGCACCTCCAGGGATCACCATGGAGGCTTTGTCCTGCTGTGGCTTGGCACAGCCACTGAAATGTATAAAGTTCCGGGGTGAAACCCTGCACTTTGTGGGTCCCATAAAGGACCTTTTCTCTGCAGAGCTCTCAAAAAACAACCACATCTCAAGCCCAGCATTTTGGCCTGTTTTTCTTTCTTTTTTTTTCTTTTTCAGGCTCTTGCCCTTGGGGGGTATTTTATGGGTGGCATACCTTGAGGGTATGATGCACCCCAAGTGTGACTGAAAGCTCAGAGGAAATGCATTTAATGCTCCTTCCAACGTATTCTTCTTCCTGATTCTTTGGTGGGAGTCTTATTCCCCGGGGATTCAAAGAGAGAAGAACAGACCCAAGAGGGCACAATCCACATGCTCCAAGAAATGAAGGAGTTTCTTTTTTTTTCTTTCTTTCTTTTTTTTTTTTGAGTTGGAGTCTCACTCCATCGCCCAGGTTAAAGCACAGTGGCATGCTCACAGCCACCCCAGCGTCCACCTGCTGGGCTCCGGCAATTCTTCCGACTCAGCCCTCCAACTAGCTGGAACTATAGGCACGCACTGCCACGCCCGGCTAATTTTTGATTTATGGTAGAGATGAGGTCTCGCCAAGTTGCCTGGGCTGTTCTCGAACCCGTGGGCTCAGGCAATCCTCTCACCTTGGCCTCCCAAAGTGCTGGGATTACAGGCTTGAGTCACTGCGCCCGACCATGGAGGAGTTTCTTACCAGTTGAGTTTCAGGTGTGCCTTCCTGTAGCATGCAATGTGACTGGCACCTCCTGTGGTTGTACAAGGTGGGCAGCCTGTGCAGGAGGTGCTTGTTTTTGCACTGACCAAACAGCAGGAATGACACCCTTCAATGAAAAGGTTGCCTTTCAGCCCCTCCACATACTGTCTGCCTAGTATTTAGGACTCCTGTTTCAACCCCTGTCTCCTTCTACAGGAGGGTATGAGTGAGGAGATGGGTGGAGATCAGGGTTGCAACAGAGGAGTTGAGAGAGAGAAACGAGCAAAGAAAATATCAACGGAAATGATGCTTGACTTGTTTTGCAGAAGAGGAAGGGCTCTGACAGGGCTGACGGAGGCAAGGAAGCCCGGGATGCCTGTCCCCCAGTGCTGCTCACTCAGAGTTCCCAGTCTAGAGTGGCACCATTTGTCAAGTTGTCCTTATTCAAGAGATGCATCCCTATGCCTTATGTAATGTCATTTGGAGGGGGCAAATTTGTCCCCCCATAAACTTCCTTTTGTAAATGTTAAGTCCGTTTTGTCTAAACTACAAAGTAAGGAATTTCAGCCATGACTCGTGATGTGACCTATGACCCCAACCCCCAACCCCCAACATGGTGCTTGACTGGCAGGCAATCAAGAGTCTTGATAACTTTGGGGCAGTGCATGAAGACATCAACCAATGGTGAGAGAGAGCTATAGAGACAGTTCTCTTCTCTTCAGGAAATCTTCCTATACCTCAAGCTAGACCACACCCCCAACCCATGCTGCCATCTTGGTCCTGAGACTACATATATACTTCTCCTCCTCCATCCTGTCCTCTCCAAACTACACATCTCCCAGAATTTAAAACAGTGACACTTACTTATTGTCTGGCAACTCAAGGACGGTGTGAAAGAGGGTCCCCATGGGAGGGACAATCTCAGGCAGGCTATTCTCCCTCCTTTCCTTCCGAGCTGGATGGTTAGTAGCCAGGCTACGGGCCTGAGCTTCCTCCAGGCTCATCAACTTCATGGGCGGGGAGAGGGCTGGCAAGGTCAAGCTCTTCGTGATGGGCCGGTTTTCTGTAGAGAGAAGAAAAGAGCTTAATTTGGGAGGAGGCCTGAGTACCAGATCCAGCCAGATTCCCCATCCACAGTCCTTCCATTCTGGATCTCTTGACGGGGGCTAAGTGCCAACCCTGGTTTCTATTGGGCATCACAGGGTCAGGGGCTGAGGCTGTACACGGGAAAATGACAACTATCCTGGCCAGACCAGCCAGAGGATAAACAGGGGCTTCAGAGGTAGCTATGCATTCTGTGCCTTTCGGAAAGCAGCCTGATGGCACTACTTCTCTTTGCAGAACATGATCTCTCTGGGTGGAAGGAAGTAAAGCCATTGAAAAAAGGTCTTTTATAGCCATCATTAATAAAACAAACAACAAATGCTGGTGAGGATGCAGAGAAAAAGGAACACTTCTACACTGCTGGGGATGAAAACTAGTGCAACCCCTCTGGAAAACAGTGTGGCGATTTCTGATAGAACTAGAAACTGACCTTCCATATGACCCACCAATCTCTGGGAATATACCTGGGGAAGTTCAAATCATTCTACAAAAAAAACTCCAAAAAACCCCAAAAAACCCCTGCACAGGCATGTTTACTGCAGCACTATTCACAATAGCAAAAACATGGAACCAACCATGCTACCCATCAAAACTGAACTGGATAAAAAAATGTACGTATACACAATGGAATAACATGCAGTCATGAAGAAGGACAAACATATGGACTTCACAGCAACTTGGATGGATTTAGAGTCTCTCATACTCAGTGATTTATCACAGAAACAGAAAACGGAGTACCACATGTACTCACTCATAAACGGACCTTGAACAGTTACTATAATACCATAAGAAAGGGATTGGCAGTAGTGGGAAACTGTCGGGGCGGGGGTGGAGGGAATGGGGCAAGGGGAGGGGGGCGGAAGGGGTGAGGGGGGTGGGAGGCACACCCCGTCAACGAAGGTACCTGCATAATGAACATCTGTATACCTAACCCTGAATTGCACCCACATCTTTAAAATAAAATTTTAAAAAAATTTTAAGAAGGGCCTCTTAGAAAACAGATGGTATGTGAAAGTGGGGTGTTTCCAGGGAGGATAAGCATGGCAGAGCCATTCAGCAGGACCACAGTGAAATATACCCTGTGAATCCTGAAAACCTTTCAGTAAAGCTTCTGACTTTAGCCCAGTCTTTTGACTCAATCCAAAGAAGGTTTAAAATATTTAAATTGAATTTGCTTTCAAGATTTATTCAAAGATTCTCATGGATTCCAGATTATTCATGATTTTTTGTTATTTGATTATTTACTTACTTAAAACATTAAATCACTCTGGGAGCACTGGAACAATGGGAAGATCATAAACTCCAGGTTTAAGAGAGCTCGGTTTTGCATCCGTCTTTCTCCTCAGTTCGTCTCTGCTTAGACGTTCCACAGGCATCTCTTAAGTCTACACTTCATAAGAGAGCTTGCAATCTGTGCACCTCATCTCTACACTGGTGCCTCCTCTCGTCTTCTCAGTAGAAGGCACCACGGGCCGCTCAGTGTGTAAACTAAAGCCTGAAGTGGTTATTTTTGATTCATTCCCTTCCTTGATGCATCCTTCCATATACAGCCTATAAGCACATCTTATAACTCTACCTCCAAAACACATCCTGAACCCAGCCCCTTACCTCCTTCCCACGGCTAGCATGCCCATACAGGCCGCCATGATTTCACACCTGATTTTGTCACAGTTCCTTAACTGTTCTCCCTGCCTCCAGCCTTTCAGCCTGTCTTCCATACAGCGGCTGAAATGCTCAGATCCCGACTCGCCTGCTCACAGCTCTCCAATGCTTTCCCAAGGCACTGAGCCTAAGCCAAACTCTTAGCATGAGCTACAAGGACCTTCATCTGCTTTTCCTCTCCTCTTCTCCCACTCACCCAGTGGTCCACAAAAATACACAGTACACATTTTTGTTCCCTTTACATGTGTGCACATTTGTAAATCATACCTATATCTCACTGTATTAGTATTATGTGTAGAAAATGTATGCAAAATGATAGAAGTTACAAAGTATAAAATAAAAGACCTTGTCTCTGTAATAAATCAAAAAGTTAGCTGGGCGTGGTAGTGTGCACCTATAGTTCCAGCTACTTGGAAGGCTGAGGTGGAAGGATCACCTGAGCCCAGCAGGTCGAGGCTGCGGTGGCCATGAGTGTGCCACTGCACTCCAGCCTGGGCGACAGAATGAGACTCCGACTCAAAAAAAGAAAGAAAGAAAGAACTTCCCATAGTTTCTTTCAGGACCCATACTTTATTACTTTGGTCTTTGGTACTCAACAGAGTGAGGTATCACACTATGAAGACCACATTGGTTCTAGCCACCTTGGCTTATGTTCTGGAATACTTCCTTCCCATTTCCACCTCAGAGCTTTTATACTCCCTGTTCTCTGTCTTTGGAATATTTGCCCCCTAGATCCTCACATGATAGATTCCTCATGTCATTCAGGTCTCGGTTCAAAGATCACTTCCTCAGAAAGCATAATCACTCTGTCCCAAAATAACACCTTCAAGTCACTGACTACTGAATTACCCTGCTGTATTTTCTTTTTAGTATTTACTGGTTTTGAAGTAATAGCATACTTATTCATGAACTAATTTATGTCTTGTATTTCCAACCAGAAATATATAGCTCTATGCAGGGCAGGGTCTCTGCCACTTTGTGCATGGATGTGTCCCCAGTATCTAGAACAGTGCCTGGTCCACAGGAGGTGTTCAATACATACATACAGCTATCTGAAGGCTGACAATTAAGTTCACAAACTTGCCACCATGCACTCACGTTGGCAACATTATTCAAATAATTCGGTAAGGTTTCATAACCTTGGTATGTCAGTGTCTCACAGCTGTGCTTGTGTCAACATGTGGCGGTGTCTTGCTGAGTGGTGTTCATTATTGTTGTTCCATGTCTTTATGTGCCATCACAAGGATGTGAGAGTTTGAATTAGAGCAACAACAAATATTGCATTTCTTGTTAAACTTCGCAAGAGTGGAAATGAAATCAGGGACATGTTAGTCCAAGTTTATGGGGATAATTCTGTGAAGAAAATGGTAATGTACAAATGGATTAAACATTTTTCTAAGGGGAGAGAAAGTGTCACCGATAGAGACAGGTCAGGACAGCTAGTAATAAGCAGAACTGATGAAAACATTGCAAAAATTCGTCAAATTGTGCATCAAAATCGTCAGCTGATTGTGAGAAGCACAGCAGACTAAATAAACATGGATAGAGAAACAGCTAGAAAAATCTTAACTTAAAATCTTGGCATGAGAAAGGTGTGTGCAAAAATGTTCCTAAAGGAGCTCTTGCATCACAGTGCACCAGTTCACACAGCACTGTCTGTTGAGGGGGTTTTTAGCAAGTAAACAAATAACTGTATTGGAACACCCTCTCTATTCAACTTATCTGGCTCCCAGTGACTTTTTCTTTACCCAAAGATCAAGGAAATATTGAAAGAAAGACATTTTGATGACATTTAGGACATCAAAGGTAACATGATAACAGCTCTGATGGCCATTCCAGAAAAAGAGTTCCAAAATTGCTTTGATGGGTGGACTAGATGCTGATGTATAGCTTCCCAAAGGGAAGTAGTTTCCCAAAGGGAGCACTTTGAAGGTGACCATAGTGACATTCAGCAACTTAGCACTTTTTCTAGGATGAGTCTGTGAACTTAATTGTCAGACCATATATGACTATATGAATGAATCTTGGAGATATTACAATTTCTCCAGCCTCATGCTATCATCTATCAAGGTACTGGATTCTATGCCTTCTGCTATGGTGTGAATGTTTGTGCCTCCCTGCCGAATTCATATGCTGAAGCCTAATCCCAATCAATGCAATAATATTAGGAGGTGGAGACTTTAGGAGGTGATTCGGTCATTAGGATGCTGCCCTCATGGACGGAAGTAGTGCTCTTATAAAAGAGACCCAAGAGAGCTTGTTTGTCCCTTTTGCCATGTGAGGGCACGGTGGGAAGGCACCAACTGTGAGAAACGAGCTCTCAACAGACACTAAATCTACCAGCATCTTGATCTTGAACTTCCCAGTCTCCAGAATTATGAAAAAATTTCTATTGTTTATAAGCTAATCCATTTATGATATTTTGTTATAGCTGCCCTAATAGACTTAGATAACTTCTAAAATCTTCTTAGTTTGAAAAAGAACTCTGTCCAAATTCCAGATGACAGGACTTAATTCCATCTTGTGTAAGTGTTAAGCGCAGTACTTTACCAAAGTCCATAAGAATTAATAAAAAGAACATTTAAACAAAATGTATTTGAATAATAAGCATTAGAAGTAATCATGAGTTAAAGGCCCAAGAGTATATTGGACTTAAATATGTAGGACAAAAGATGATTAAGGCAATGGGTTAAGAGGACAGGCATTTCCAGGCTAACATTAGGAATAACCTTAGCATTAATAGTCATGGATGGGATTTGGTGTCTAGAGGAATATTTCCCAAAGCCACTAATTCTCCACAATGGTTCATTTATCTATTTTCCTATTTATTTCCTCACAGAAGCAGAATAGAGTTAAGGAAAAAGCCTGGGCTAGAAGATTTGGGTTCAACTTTCAGTCCTACCAGTTACTTGCTACGTGGCTTTGGGCGGTTACTCAGCTTTTCTGGTTCTCTAGTTCTTCCTATATAAAATAAGGTGGATAACAACTTTATGATGTTTGCTGTAATAAGTTAATGAAATGATGCATGTGGAGTGTCCACAATAGTTACTAGTATAGAGTAAATCCTCAATAAATTTTTTTGTGAACTCGAAAGGATGAGAAAATGAAGGCATATTACTTTTCATGTGCTTTCAAAAAGGATTTTTTTTGAGGGGGTTGATGTCTCACTCCGTCACCCAAGCTGGAGTGCAGTGGCATGCTCACAGACACCCCAGCATCAATCTGCTGGGCTCCGGTGATCCTTCCACCTCAGCCTTCCAAGTAGCTGGAACTACAGGCACATGCTATCAAAAAACATTTTAGATAACTTACAATAAAAATATACCTATCGAGAGAGCTAAAATAAAAATAAAAAAGAAAGGCTAGCCACTGCTAGATATATAACAAAGAAAACTGAAAACATATGTTCAACAGAAACTTGTACGTGAATGTTTATGGCAGCATTACACATAAAAAACCAAAACTAGAAACAATCCAAATGCCCATTAACAAAGGAATGTATAAAAATGTGTTATATCTATATAATACAATATCATTCAGACATAAACAGGAATGCTACAACATAGTAAACTTTGAAAACATATGCTAAGTGGAAAAAAAAAGCAGCCACAAAAGACCACATGTTGCATGATTTATATGAAATGTTCAGAACAGCCAAATCTATTAAAACAAAAAGTAGCTTAGTGGTTGCCAGGGTCTGACGGGAGGGGAAAAGGTGGAGTGACTGCTTAATGAGTATGGGGTTTGCTATGGTTTGAATGTGTCCCCTGAAGTCTGTGTGTTAGGAACTTAATCCCAAATCCAAGTGTTGACAGGTGGGACCTTTAAGAGGTGAGTAAGTCATGAGGGCTCTGTCCTCATGAGTACACTGACAACATTACCTCTGGGGTGGGTTTGTTATGGAGATAATAGGTTTGTTATAAAAAATGAGTTTGACCCTCTCTCCTTGTACTCTCTTGTCCTTCCAACTTCAAAAAGGTAAGTTCCCACCGGATGCTAGCCCCTAGATCTTAACTTCCCAGCCTCTAGAACCATGAGAAGTAAATTTCTTTTATTTGTGAATTACCCAGTCTGTGGTATTCTGTTATAGCAGCACAAAATAGACTAATGCAGGAGGAATCTTTTTGGAGTGATGAAAATGTTCTAGAATTAGAGTGGTAATAGTTGTACAATTTGGTGACTACACTAAAAGCCACTGAATTTTATACTTTAGAAGAGTGAATTGTATGTTATGCGGATTTTATCTCAATAAAAATAATTTTTAAAAGAAAGGTTATGGCTGAGTGCAGTGGCTCAAGCCTGTAATCCCAGCACTTTGGGAAGCCGAGGTGAGGGGATTGTCGAAGCCCAGGGTTTGAGATCAGCCTGGGCAACTTGGCAAGACCTCATCTCTACAATAAATCAAAAAATTAGCCAGGTGAGGTAGCGCACACCATACTCCAGTCTAGGTAATAGAATGGACTCCAACTCAAAAAAAAAAAAGAAAAAGAAAAAAAAAAGAAAGGTTATGAACTACATAAAGGATAGTAGGGATGAGAACAGTTATAGCAGGAATCAAAATTTTATATTAATTGCAATTGATTATTCTGATGATTATATGGCTTTTTTCAAATATATTAGATGAACTGGAAAAGAGTGCTTTGATCAGCTAGCAAATATTTTACAGATGTGGTTCTCAAACACCACTGATTCTCCAAGTGTGGACCTGAACAGCAGCATCAGTATCACCTGGAAACTTGTTAGAGATGCCAATTAACAGCCTCACTCCAAAAATATTGAATCAGAAACTCCAGGATGAGGTCTTGTAATTTGTGGTTTAACAAGCTCATCAGGTGATTTTTGATTCACCTTAATATTGAAAAACCACTGGATCTCTGGTTTTTACAGATGAGGCTCCCAGGAGTT